ACAGGCCCGGTCTAAATTGAGGCAGTAGGTGGAACATAGGCGAAGCTGCAACTGGACGCAGAAAAGGGAAGGAGCAAATGAGCATAATATTTCTTTATGATGTGGTATTCGATTTTGATGAAGTAGCGGTGAAACAAGGGATAGCCTTATGCGGTCACCCTCAAATCCCCTTGACATATGTGACTTACACTCTGTTTCAATGCAGTGGCTCAATTGTGTCACTCTGATGGTGTTACAACTTACAGCACGAAGTAATGGGGCAAAGTGAATTAGACATGATCCTATATCGGTCTATAGATTTGATTTCTAATTTTATTCACTGAACTTGCACAGCCCAGTCTGAAGAAGATATACGGGGCAATAGGCGGAGCTAGAGCCTAGCTCTTAAAACGTAGTTTCCCCCAGGGTGCTTAATCAGCTTTTGGGGAAGTAGGCCGTATCTTACTTCAAGAATTTGTAAGCCTAACACAAGTTGTTATCTATGTTGAGTTGACTATAATTAAATCTATAGCCCTGTTATGACTGTATCTCTATGCGGTGTTTTGTCTGCATTTTATTGAACGCAGTTCTTGTCTGATTTCATAACCAAAGCTACCATCAAAGCGACATTTCATAAAAAGGTGGAAATGACTGCAAAGCACACGTTCCAGCATCCAATGTAACAAACCTGATTGCCTCCTGTGGTCATCTTGTGGTCAGAAGCACCATCCCATCATGTGCGGCAAAATTCTCCAGCCATTAATCGAGCGTGGTTATCACCGCTTGAGCGAAGACAACGAAGAAATAAATTGCAAATCCTCCCATGCAGCAAAGATGCGGGCGAAGTTCAAGTGGCAACAGGTTCAACAACCGCATTACTAATTATGGACCTAGAATGCAACAGAACAACACACAGCTGATGCAGGCAGACCAGGAACTCCACGGCTCTGTAGAGTAATTCCAAATGAAACTCTTAAACAATTGATGCTTAAGGCAGCTGACGGTAATCTCTTCGATGATTGTAAACAAAAGATTAAAGTGCCCTTCTTCTTCGGCAATGAAGCTTGAAAAACCATTATAGAAGAAAATATCACTCAACAATTTGGATTACCTGGATTACCTATCTAGTGAGACATGTTTTACGCCAAATAATAGAGGATACCATGGTCTTTGAAAAATCGTTCCGTTTATGGTAAAGAGATCAATCTAAATGCGAAACCTAACTCTGCCATAAGGGGTTTTCCGTCACTTACTCACTCGAGCA